ATGGTTTTTCTTATTGATTACTGTCAGATCCGTGTATCTGCCATTCTTCAATGGAAGAAGAAGTGGGGGGGGAGTTGGTACAACTAATCCTTTTTGATGTAACCTGAATATATTAAATCTTATATTGAATCTGTATAACTTGCACATGATATACAACTGGAGGACTGGAGCCAGATGGCTAGAAACTTGTCACCTCTTGGAGACATAGCAAGAGGAGAAGGGACCATAAAAATTACAGCTCTGGAAGATAATCCCTGGGAAACTCTTCTAAGATACGTTCCCAGAAAAGGGGAGGGGGGAATTAACATGTTGGTTCTTTGTTTGACAAAATCCACATCTAAATAAAGGGAGGGGTTCTAACTCCCTTTATCTGTTACTGTATGCCTGGAAGCATCTTTAATTCTGCTTTGACTAGTACTGGAATCATTTCCTTTCAATAAAGAATTCCTTTTGAAGTGTGTAACTTTCAGAAGTTCATTCTTTTTCGGTTGAAGGGGAAAAAGTTCATTGCTTACAATTACTTTCTTAGAGTTTGCTCCCTTATAATTTTTTTTCTTCCTACTAACCTGTTTTTCCACAAGTTCAAGTCTCAGCCTTTTCCCCCCAGATCAACCAAATGTTGATTTATTGGTTGCATCAGAAATTGACTGACCTCCTTGTCGCCTGAGTCTGACATTCTGAGGGAGAGCAACTGGCCCAAAGTCACCCAGCTTTTGTGCCAGGGCGGGACTAGAATTCACAGTCTCCTGGTTTCTAGCTTGGTGCTTTAGCCATTAGACTACATCGGCTCTCATTGTTCTGACCAAGGCTTCCTGCGACAGTAACAATCACACGCTGTTCCCAAAACCCTGTTTAAAAAAATTTCAATGGACGTGAATTATATGCATTCACAGCCCGTAATGAGTCCCAAACAGTCCAACAGAAGTCTGCCACAGTCTTTCGGGATAAGGCTGATAGGCACCCACCTTTATCTCCCTTGAAATGTTGCCAATGACTAAATTGCCAATTAGCTGTACAAGGCCAAATGGAGCACAAAGTCAACACGGAGCTTCAGGGTTTAAACCGACCAGAAGGAACAAAGTTGCTTCCTGCAAAGGCTCATGTCCCTTTGCTCCTCCTTTATGTCTTATGGGAGGGGCCAATCACCTCCAAGCCTTACTCCCGAGGCGCCCCTTTTGTCTTAACAGTTCTTGCCTTCTGGCCCCATCTCTGTATCGGATGCATATCCCTCATCCGAGCCTCCCCAGACTCCTGGACTGGCCCATGTTCCTCCCCCCACTGTCCGACTCTGCTGCCAGTTCCGCAGGCCACCGGCAGAGCACAACACTCATCAAATATGTCACTATTAATTCTATATTCTTTCATTTATCGTATGAGATCGCTGGGTGCTATTCAGTATATTTCCCTTATTCCTAGGACATCTGTTTTCCCATCTGTCTTGCTCATCTCTACAAACTGTCCTGCAGTCTCAGGACTGACTCGGGGATCATTTTTTGTCCCCTCGGACCCTCTAAGACCCTTCAGTTAAGGATTTTCAGCCCTTCATGGTTTCCAGGGTCTGCCTGGCCTTCTGCACTGCTGGTCCAAAGTCATACAAACCCATGACAGTGTCCAGACTCCATTAGAGACGAATGGCTAATAAATAGATACAGATACAGATTAACAGAGTTGGAAGGGACCTTGTAGGTCATCTAGTCCAACCCCCCCCCCCCCCCCCCCCCCCCCCCCCCCCCCCC